AGATGACGCAGACCACTTGGATATATAAAAAATATAACCGTGCTGGTTTATTCAAAAGATCACAGGCAAAATTAACATTACACGTCCAGGTATCTTCCACCTCCAATACTGTGCGCAGGCAGATGAAGAATGAAAGACCCCGAACCCAACAGGCCTGTACATTATATCTGGTTTGGGCTAACCCCATTCTACACAGGCACGTCAAACCGTGGCGTCACCTGATATGCCAGCTTTACAGCTGACCGTAGCAGTAGTCAAAACATGGAGAAAATCAATGTGTGTGAGTGTTGATTAAGTGGTGTGTATCTAAGAACATACAGGACATTCAGGGACATGTCCGAACATTAAGCCTAGGAAGATATTATGATTAAGATTACGGTTGAACATATCATACAGTAGCCACTTTCTATCTAGTTATCCTTGACCATAAACAACCTGGAGTAACTCCTGGAAATGAGTAAGCATTTAACAGCTTGAGCTAGACATCCTGTCTACACTAAAGACATTTCTAATACAACAAGTACCTAACCAATACCTATCTGACTAAAAAATACCTAACAGTGGGGAAATTCCAGTGTTCCAGCAGCAGTAAGGGACAAAAACAACAGAGAGCAAGCAACAAGACACCATAAGAAAAGACACCACATCTTGATAGACAAATTCAGAAAGCACGGAAAGCAAAAAACACAAAAGAGGACAGAGCTACTGGAACTCGCTGCCGCTCTGTGTGGCAAGTCTTAAAAAGCAAATCCAGAATACCCAAAAAACAAGACAGTACAAGCATTTCAAAACAGCAAACACCAGAAGGATCTCTTAAAAACAGATCAAGAATCTTAAACAATTTGAGAATACCCAAAAAACAAGACAGTACTGTTAGAAATTAATAAATCAGTCAGATAATTATTAGACTTTAATGTGTTAGACTTTAATGTGTTAGTAATGCAGTTTAGTAAGATTCAAAGTCTGCTCTGTTTCAAGGTTAGCAGTAAGCCATGACACCAATTGTTTTCTTGTTTTAATCTTGTGTAAGAATTATGTCTGAATGGATGTTTTAGTTACACATCACGTATACAACATACACACACATTGAGCTACCTCATTTTGTTATGACTAGGTAATACGCAGCTGCTCCAAGTATGTGGAGCTCTAGATAAGAGATGGAGTCTGTGGGACGGACTTCATCTGTGTAAGGGGTTAGCCCAAAACTGATACCGTAAATGTATTAGGCTCTGTTAGGTATTTTTAGTTAGATAGATATTGGTTAGAGATTTTATGTTAGAAAGTTGATTATTGTTAGGAAGTATTTTTAGTTAGATAGACATTGGTTAGATACTTTATGTACTAGAAATGTTTAGTGTAGACAGGATGTCTAGCTCAGGCTGTTAAATGCTTAGTCATTCCCATAAGGGTATTCCAGGTTGTTCAGGTTCAAGGATAACTAGACAGAAAGTTGATTACTGTTAGGAGACAGAATATTTAGTCTTATTGTTATGACGTGTTTAACCACAGTCGTAGTCATAATATTTTCTTATGCTTAATGTCATGTCAGAATGTTTTAGCTACACACCACATAATCAACAGACATTCACACATTGATTTTCTTCATGCTTTGACTACTGCTCTGGCCAGCTGCAAGCTGGCACCGGGAGGCGTCACAGTTTGGCATCCCCGTAGTATGGGGTTAGCCCGAAGTGATATAATGTATAGGCATGGTATGGGT